CGACAACCATTCCTGACAAAATGACGAACAACCATTCTTGACAGGACAAAGACAACCATTCCTAACAGGATGACAACAACCATTCCTGACAGAATGATGAGAACCATTCCTGACAGGATGAGGACAACCATTCCTGACAGGATGATGACAACCATTCCTGACAGGATGATGACAACTATTCCTGACAGGATGACAACAACAATTCCTGACAAAATGACGACAACCATTCTTGACAGGACAAAGACAACCATTCCTGACTGAATGACAACAACCATTCCTGACTGAATGACAAAAACCATTCCTGACTGAATGACGACAACCATTCCTGACAGGATGATGACAACCATTCCTGACAGGATGATGACAACCATTCCTGACAGGATGACAACAACCATTCCTGACTGAATGACAACAACCATTCCTGACAGGATGGTGACAACCATTCCTGACAGGATGGTGACAACCATTCCTGACAGGATGACGACAACCATTCCTGACAGGATGACGACAACCAACCCAAGTGGTTAATAAAACAAGAATTCAATATTTTACCTGAATCTGATTTCTTTTGATCTTCTTTAGCTGAAGTACTACTAGTGGCCAATGATGTTGCACTGGACCTTCCTGTCCATGGTGAGTTTGAAGAGGTGCTCTGTCTTGCTGAAGACTGTAATGGTGTTATGTTCATTGAGGGGGATATATGAGAAGATCGTTCAAATACTGGTGACTGCGACGGTGAATTTGTAGATGGTGATATCCGAGAAACTCTATCTAACACTGGTGAATGTGACGGTGTTAAATTTGTAGATGGCACTATATGGGGAATACGATCCAAAACTGGTGACTGTGATGGTGTTGAATTTGTAGATGGTGCTATACGAGGAAGTCGGTCAGCTACTGGCGACTGGGATGGTGTTGTCTGTGCAGATGGTGATTTACTAGAGATTGGTGATTGGTGGTCATCTTCTGTGTCATCTTCACTCTCACTATAGTAAAGAGCAGCTAGAAATTGACAAGATAATAATAAGCTAAGTTGTTGATTTCAAGTTTTTGTCCAACACTGTTATATAATGTCTTAAAGCTTATTAGTCAATTAAGTATTGACAACTTTTAAAATTTTAATCAATTTTTTCATTTGAATTAATTAAAATAATGACATCAATGTAAATATTTTAACATTTTGATTCAAACATTGCCCCTTGACAATGCTTCATTGACAACACACCCTTGATATTGGTTCCTTGACAATGCTCCCTTAATATTGTTCTTTGACAATGACATTGCAAATGGTAAATCAATTTCTAAATATGCCAATTTATCACAGACTGTTTGTTCACACATATTATGGCTAGCAAAACATCCAATACATAGGCACAGTATTAAGTATACACTGAAGTCAGCATAGGCATATTCATTTTCATAAATGTAATTAAAATTTGAAATCAGTCCGAATGAGATGACAGGATTGGATCAACAGGTGTCCTCCTCTATTCTGTGAAGTTCTCAAACATCAATCATACATAAATTATAACAATCTAGGTCCCAGTATTCACTCATAGTATGTGTAATTGCCATTTCCATTTATAAATATTCAGGTTGATTTACAATGTATTTTTACCTGATGCAGGTGATGTTGGTGATATTGGAGATTCCGGTACTGCAGTAAATTTCCTTCTATTTTCTGTTTTCTTTTCCATACGAGTGTTATCTTTGACATCATGATATGCAATGGATGCTAATCCAGGGCATTCATCCATTTTGACATGTCCTCTGATCTTTCTGATGCAAACAGGAATTCTTTCTCAACATTAGGATGGCAGATCTTAAAAGCACTGCAGAAATAACGCATATAAAGATTCATACGAGTGTTGTGCTGTAGCAGGTTCAATTGATGAAAAGGATTGATAGTTTACTTCTATTTCTGCACCACACTCGTTTTAGATTATCTACAAATGTAATACTTATACATGTAGATTCAAATTTTGATTCACTATTGGGGCACACTTTTGTTCTGACCTCTATGTCCAAGGCAGATTGCTGATTAGATGTCACTATTATAAAAACAATTTTGAAATTATATTCATCTGCACCAGTGACGTTAAAATCAGAGTTGCTGTGATTGGTTGAACAGTTTCCAACTGCCATTTTGAATTGCTAATAGATATTTATAAATCGACCATAAAACAAATCCATGGCTAAACTGAGATAAATGTACCCTGGGGGTAAATTTACAGGATGAATTTGCGCCATTGTTTGACATTATGCAGAAGAATTCCAATAACCCACTGAATGCACACAAAGCTGTGGACAAAACCTGACTATCCTCGGGGGCGGACATCCAGGCATTTTCTACCGCCTGGCAACCCTCCCGGTGAAAACAAAGACCAAAACCTCGCAGAAAACAGTACTTTGTGATGGTTGTTGAGAGTCCCCTGAACAGTGTAACAAGATTGGCCCTACGTGTGTAACATATATGAATTTGGTTGTTCAGGATTACTTCAAAGTTGAGTTTGTGTTGTTTTCTCGTGTTTTCACCGGCTCCACCGCCAGGCTCCACCGGCGTTCCACAGCAGCGCGCACAAAACGCATAGAAATACGTGGTACAGTGGTGCGCGTCTTAGCAACGTAGAACGTCCGTGATGTAGCTCCGCCCCCGAGGATAGTGATATAGAACTGTTAACTTAATCATTGTATTATGCATAGTAGATAGCTGGTTACATATATTTGGAACGTTTGAACCCTGAAGGGACAAAACACTTATGTAAATAGTTGAAGTGCAAAACTTGCATAAGATATATTGAATTCCTTGAATGTATATTTATGTTTACAATTGTTAGTGAAAGTATTGTCAATGTTGGCAAGTATAATATTGTTTTACGCAGTATATAGATTCCAATTAGCAACCTAGTAGCCACAGCTCTTATGAGTGATTAAATTGTTATTTTTAAAGGAGTATTGACAGCGGAGGTCGATGCAACCATATACTGTCTGATTGCATACTATTTGGTAATCTCGTAATTACCTTATTATTATACATATTTTCCTCCCAAGAATACATCATAGGAATGCCGAAATACAAAAAGTTTAGAACAAATCAGCAAACTTCTTTGTATGGGGACCGGTCAAACTCTGAGAGCTGCCATGTTTGTTTTTATTATTAGAGGACACTTATGCACATAATCGTTTCATATTTGGAATTCCCATTTCCTTATATGGTAGGATGAAAATACCCCCGTAAAATACTGCAAAATTACGACAAGCTGTAACTTACGATGACAAATATATAATAATAATATTTAATAATAGTACTTTTGTAAACATGGCATCCAATATAGAGAACACTCAACAACAAAAAATGAAAAAGAGGTTATACTTACAACTGTCGTTTTGTTTCAGAATGTGCAGCGGGAGAAACACGATAACCAGGCAGACTTATCACACCAGTGGCACGAAGTGACTACAACATTAATTATGATAACATTAATTATGTAAGCAACACTGACATTTTAAACAAGCAGCCTATCGGCTGAGATAGCTCCGCTGTTAGCAATGCACATTTCAATTAAAGAACTGAAGACATCATTAGAAAATGAACAATATGAATAGTATCAAAGCAATCGGACTTACAGTTTTTAACAAGAAGTCGAAAATATCACTTTTTACCAAAAATTACAAAAATATTCACCAAAATAGATAGAGAATTGAAGATATCATCACAAAACAAACAAATCTGAGAGAGGTCCACATGTACTATCTATATATGTAATATCAAAGCAATCGGACTTACAGTTTTTAACAAGAAGTCGAAAATATCACTTTTTACCAAAAATTACAAAAATATTCACCAAAATTAGAGAATTGAAGATATCACGAAATGAACAAATCTGAGAGAGGTCCACATGTAGTACCTATATATGTAGTATCAAAGCAATTGGACTTGCGGTTTTTAACAAGAAGTCGAAAATATCACTTTTTACCAAAAATGACAAAAATATTCACCAAAATTAGAGAATTAAAGATATCATTACAAAATGAACAAATCTGAGAGAGGTCCACATGTAGTACCTATATATGTAATATCAAAGCAATTGCACTTGCGGTTTTTAACAAGAAGTCGAAAATATCACTTTTTACCAAAAATGACAAAAATATTCACCAAAATTAGAGAATTGAAGATATCAACATGAAATGAACAAACCTAAGAGAGGTCTACCCAAGGTACATATACACCAAGTATCAAAGCATTCAGGCTTGTAGTTTTCAAGAAGAAGTCGAAAAAGTAAAACATTGACACGGACGACGACGGACAATCACTTATATGATAAGCTCCGCTCGACAAAGTCGACAGCGGAGCTAAAAACCGACAGTTACACCCTAGTTTGGAAAATACTCAGCTGAGACAAAGTTCAGTAGTTTTATATGTTCCGTTAGGTTGTTTGTTGTTTACCTTTTGTGCAGCAAAGTCAACTTCAGTAATTTTTCAAAAAAATTAATTTAAATTTTTCGATTTTTTTTATATAATAATTGATCAATATCTGTAGCTGATGAGTAATTATCTCCATTCAGTTCAGAATTTACTAAGAAATCACAGAAAAGTGCAAAATGTTTCATCCATTGATACAAACAAATATGGCATTAAAAATTTACACTTACACTTCTTTCTTTGTAGTAGAAGAGTGAATATTCTTTCAAAACAAACCATCTTTTGTTCCATTTATTTCCAAATCCTTTTCTTTCTTCCTTCTTCCACAGCCAGCCTTGACACTCACCAACACCAAGATTTTTACATGATATTCTTCTATCAACTATAAATATTGAAATAAGATTTAGTGGATAATGATATACCTGATAACAGTTGCTATAGTTACATTGAGGCAAGCATGACTAAAATACTAAATTAACAGCATTTGTCAAATATGGGATACGTGTCAAATAAATGATTGAATGAAAGGTTTTGAATGTGACAAGTGAAAGTGTCAAATAAGTCATTCAATGATTGTCAACTATTTGACACATGGCATGCGTCAAGTGGAAGTGTTAAGTAAATGATTCAATGAAACATGACTAGGTGAAATAAGTGATTAAATGAAATGTGTTTGATGTGGCAAGCAGAAGTGTCAAGTAAATGATTCAATGAAACATAACAGTGAAATAAATGATTAAATAAAAATGTGTTCAATTCGGCAAGCGTGTCAAGTAAATGATTCAATGAAATGTGGCTAGAAGAAATGAGTGATTAAATGATGTAATTTGCTTGTCATGTGGGAAATAAGTGATTCAATGATGTCAAATGGTTAGCATGTGGCAAATAAATGATTCAATGAAATGTGTCAATGTAACACAAGGCAAATGTCAATGCCATTATTTCACACACATTTGTCAATAAAAGGAACCTCTTTCTATTTGACAGATTCCCAAAATGTAGATGTTTTTAATACATGATATTTGATTACAATATTGTCTTCCTTATTAAGCATTCATTGTCAACTCGGGAATAAGAGGAATAGAAACTGAAATTTAAGAAGCAAGGCCATTTCAAACTGAAAGAAAAAAATAACATTTTTTTATCAGGGTACTTGAGGCATAGTTTCATTCAGTGACTCAGAAAAAGCTTTTTTTAGTTTTTGTTATATTTTAATTTGAGTTTAGAATAGTGAACAAAAAAATAAACACTGTTAATATTTGTTATGAAATATATATAGTGATATCATGATAATATTGTATATAATTAATACAGTTTAATTAATACTTTATAATTAATAACGCATAATGACAGCAAAATAATTTCATAAAAGTTTACCTTTCTTTTTTGTGGGGGCCACCTTTTTTCTTCTTTTCTTCTCGATGGAAAAGAAAAAAAAATAAGAGTGTTAGTTGAAGACATACACATACATTTGTATAATGAATGAAATGGACATACTATTATTACACACCGGAAATGAACGATGTGAGAACATAATAACTGAGTATATACAGTGTATGATTAATAATGAAGTTATCATTCTGGATGACTGACGTTTCTTTCTATTTACTGTAGAGGCATCATTTGAAATTGTTCAAATAATTAACAACCAACACACTTCCACTTCCATGTGCAACCAATCAACAAACAATTTTCTATGGTAAGCTGACACTTGAAACATATTGGAAAATGTAAACAATTGGTGGAAGCACAAGAAAAAAATGTTATCAAGACCACATTTCTTCCTACCAAGCCAGGACCCATGATGTATGTGAAAGGGTCCCTCCCCTTCATGGTATCAGTGTAAATAGCAAACCTACAACAAACGACGATCCAATATTGATGTGGGAGTCGTCCGCCATTCCATGTAAAACAACTAAAAGTAACACAAACAACTACTTCCTCATACTGATGCTAATCTTAGATTGACCTTTGACCTTACTTCCTAATGATTTCAGTAGCTTACTGGTACTATAAAGATAAGGACATTGTTATTACAAACATAGTCAACTTATTGTGACCTTTGCTAAGGCATCATAAGTGGTGTTCTCAGTGGACGAAGCCGTTGTCACAGCGCCTTTTATTTGAGACCGTTGTTAAAATGAGTGTGTGAACAGGATATGCCGTTTCGGCGTCGGCGTTTTTGACATCGTCATAAAAGGGATGGACCAGATCCTAAACGCCGTTGTCAGACCAGCTCTTGCACAATGCAATGTGCCATATGAACACGATACAATGGCCAAACTATACCATTTTGGAATGAACAACATAAAATATTAGATGGAAGGCCAGCATTCAATCCTCAAACACGGGTATTTTTACCAAGTTAGAATGCAAGCACTCATAGTTCAGACCACACAAGGCAAAATAAAAAACATTAACTTTGTGATATCAAGTTACAACCTATCTGAGTTTAAAAAACTATATCAACTGCAAACCTAAATTAAAAAATTAACAATCTTCTTTGTAGTGTGTCTTGCAAACCATTGTTGTTTAGACACAGAGCTATTATCACTGATCCATTTGACTGATAACCGACCTTTGACCTATAGATCAATGATTAACCAATCAATTGTTGTATAGCATCATCAAGATAGAATGACAATAAATTACTTACAACATCACATGACACAATTGGCATCTTGACCGGAACACCAGCAATAATCTT